CAAAACGTCCGGTCTCAAGCTTGAAACACCTTGGAGCAAACACCCATGTGCACATGTGCATTCTAAATAGCAGCGCATATCTTCTGCAAATGTGCTTTTGGGAATCTAGAAAAGGCTACTTGGCAAGACAGCGATTGAAACCAGTTCGGAACCAGTGCTGGGATCCGCCGCCACCAACCTGTTCTGGGGAACTCTTACTTTGCTTCACCTGCCAGGGTCCTCTGCACCCCCTTTGGTTGCTGACACCACGCCCAGTCGATCGGAATTCGTGGCCTCTTTGGCCTTGGTTCCGTTGGTGACGATCTCCAACAAGGCCAACATAAGCATCCCCAGTAGAATGATCAAGCCGCCTGTCGAAAGAGGTGGCGTCATTCGCCCGAAACTGAGGAGAAGAATTCCTTGAAAGCGATTATATATACCAGGGAGTCCAAATGTGCATGTTTTTGTTCAAACACGTTCGCACAAAAACAATCCGTGCATCCGGCCTTTTTTTTTAAATGGACAAATACGGCTGGAATTCCTCCGAATATTGGGTTTGATTGGGTTTTATCAATATAATATACGGTAATTGTTTGGGTTTTTGTCAAAAAAACGTTGATAAAGTTTGGGTTTCATATGGGTACGTTTTTTTTACGGTATTGTTTTTTTTGTCCATACGGCTAAATACGCCAATTCGTTAATTAAAATGTCCTTACGAGAAATTATGTCCAAAGACGGCCTTCGCACAAAACAAAGTGTTCATACGCCTTTCCAGGTATACAAACCCCCAAATGGATATCCCTTTCAACATTCATTGGACACCGTGCCACTATCTATTTGGGGACCTCTACAATTATCAAACAAACATGGAATCTATCAGGGGCGGAAGATTCATTTCAACCAAGCTCTGTCAAGTGGAACACCTTCAGCCAGATCTCAGTGCCAAATGACCCAAAACGACCTCTCTCTTTGCAAAGCCCAGGCTAAACACGTCTTCTGTGTTCTGTCTCTTTCGGGAACCAACGGTGTAACGGTGTTGGAGAGTCCCACAAAGGGTCCCTTCCTTCCGTCCAAACAGGCCGACTCGACCAACCACCCTGGACCAACCGCCCGTCGCTCGCGTCGCTCGCGTGAGTGAAGAAGAGGGGTCCAGCACCACTGGGGGCCCCGGACAGATCAAAGCACCGATGTCTGTGCGGAAGGTGATTCCATCTCCAGATCCCATCCTGAAGAAGCTCGTGGAGTCTGAAGAAGCTGTCGTGGAGTCCATCATGGGAGATCGGTTTTTCATCAGGCGTTAGCATATCGGTTTTTCTTATGGGATGTCTGGTCGTTGAACATGTGATCTGGTATGGTGTGGTTTCAGCTGTACCACATTTGTGGCACTGTATAGAACCTTCATGAAACTTCCACATATGGATGGTTTGGTGCCTTTGTTCACACTGCCAAAGGCTAGGCATTAAACCTCTATTGAATTCCAGGTGCACCTGCGGCGAAACAGGAAACGCGGACGCACAAAGAACATGCCAGAAACGCGGAAGGAACCAACAATCGGAAAAATAACAAACAGAAGACGAGCAAAAAAGCCGCTACCGCCGAAACATCTTCGCTGCCGCGTGTCGTGGCCAAAATGATCACGGAGGCGATGATGATGACAACCTGGAGGTGTCTCACACGTCTGAAAGTGGGAGGCCAAAACAGGTATCTAAATGTACAGCGGTTTCAGAGTACATGGCAGAGGCACCCGAAGATGAGACAAATGAGGATCCATGATTGCACCACCAAACTTGGGGCAACTTATTTATGCCATCTACTCTCAATGCACTATACTCACTTCCTTCCTGCAAGCTCTTTTAATGAGGACTTCTAACTTGAAAAAATAGCCGTCTGACCATGTCTGACCTACCCCTCGACTTCTTGCGGCTGGCTCCATATCCCGGGTCCAACCTCCAGTACCAGCACCACTGTCAGCTCGATACTGCAAGGCCTGGCCAATTCAGCATGTGTTGTCCAAACATTGTCTTGACTGACCAATAAAAGCCCCCCAGACATGGATTGGAGGCCACCTCTTCAGGCTTGGGGGGTTGAAATATCAACGGTCTACATGATACTCTTCCAGCTAAAGACTGGGTCTGTCTCACCCCAAGCACAAGCAATACGCGGCAGAGGAAAGTACTCTTCCAGGCCCCGCTGCAGGTGCATGGTTATTGCATAGCTTCCGTTCGAACAAAGCGATAGATGTTGAAAATCCACCGAAACCTCCTGAGTGAGCTGCATGGTTGCATGGCTCTTGTCTCAAGCTGAGGGACAATTGACAATACACAACAAATCCCTCAGAACATCTAAAAAAACCCTTCCCCTTGCCTGAAAGAAAAACACATCAAATTAATAAATTAAAGATCTTTTCCACCGAATCTTTGCCTCCAAAAGACCCGCTCCGACCCGATGTTCCCCCGGTCTCGGCCTGCGGCGCTCGGCGCTCGCGCGCGTCTCCCGGGTCATCACCGACATGGCATCGCTGTGGTCGCCCCAGCCGAAGCTCCGCGTGGCGGCGGTGACCTGGATCGATCGAGGACCGAGGGTCGGGAAGCGGTCGGAGGGTGATGAGACACACCAGGACGGTCGGACATGGGTGTTGCTGGAGATCCCGAAGAGCGGCTGCGACACCCATGTCCAGGATGGTCCAGGTATGTGAGTGGTTTGGACGGTAAGATTTTTCGCTTGATGTCAATTCGCAGTCACATTCAGTGGTTCTGCCACCAAAATATGGATCTTTGAGTGGTCTTTTCTTGAGTTGCCTCACAGGTGTCCCTGAACGTTCTGAGTCTTTTCACCCCTGATTGTTGGTCTGGAGGGTGTGGTTCACCCTGCATCTTCGGGTGAGAGCGCTCATGTTCATGTCACCCGTGTTTTGTGGGTCTGTGGTCAAGAACGAATACCGGGTAACGCCCAAAAACAGGACTGACAGACGACAGACTAGATCCATCGACATGCCCGGTGTTCTCCATGGTCGCCTTGCATTTCTCTGATTCCTCTTCCATCCACCCAGTTCACACACCTTCGTCACCTTTCGTCACCTAAAAGCTTTGATTTCTCAAGGCGCAGGCGCGGTGCTTGGTGCTTCAAACTCACACCCACTGAGGCTCCGACGGAGGTCACCCCATTCTGCGCCTGAGTTGGGGGAAAGCAACCATGAAAAGAATTCCAAACGATGTTGATGCCCCGAACCCTTGTTCAAATTAAACAAAATGTTAAACCCTCGGTTCTTTCTTGGACCATAAACCTCTGTGTGTGCCGCACATCTGAAAAACCACACCAAAAAGGCCAATTGAACTCGTAATTTTGCTCGCACCCAACGGCGTCCAAACGGAGCAACACCGTACGATGGCGAGGTCGACCGGAGCAACCACATCGAAAACACTGCGAGGCCAAAATAGTTTGTCTTGTTGGTCGCTTTCGATGAAAGAAAGCGAAGCTCTTCTGGTTCTGCACCTGAATGGATTCCAAAAAGAAGAGAGACACGAAAAAGCAACCTGACCTCATTCTAAACGGGCGTCCACAAGAAAAACCAGTCCCTCCCCAGTCCGCCAGCGACGCGACCCAGGCACTGGCGGATGGGGATCGGGAGCGACTTGGCGGCTCTTCATGGCGATTGAATACGCTTGCTTTTGTTATGTTTTTCCTCGTCTGTTTGTGTTGTTCCTGTTGTTTCGTCCGCACCACCTGAGCCTGGGGTGATTGGAAGACGTTGGAGAAATAGACCAGGTGCCTCATCACATTACATAACCGCTATGGTCGTTGTGCTGCATGGTTCAAGCCAAGTTCATGTCATTCAACCGGGCATGAAACCGGTCAAAAGCACATGGTTGTGCTTGGTCTGTTGCTGTTTGGGGCCATCTTTATAGCTGGAGACCAAGAATTGCACTTGCTTTATCCAGCTCCAACCCCCCCCCCAGCTCCTTAGGAGGAGGAGGAGAGGAGGACACAGGCTGCAGGAACCAAAATATTCGCACACGGAAGAGGCATGTGCCTGGATCTTAACGTGCCTTTAAACACAGCCAGCAAACAGAGATCTTCACCAAGAATTGTGGCCATATCTCAGATTTGGGCGATGTAAGCTCGTCTCAACTAAACACGGGAAACGTGTTTTCCACCGATTTCGACCATTGTCTCCGGGCAGATCAAAATGATACTTCTGCTAAAAGCCTCGAACATGTTGCGGACTTTCTTTGAAGGAAACTCTCGGCTCTAAATAAAACGTTGTCTTTCGTGATGGCGCATCACGTCCATGTCATGGAAAAAGGAATTGACCATCTAACACCATGGCAGGTCCATCAAAGCTTCCCAGGCAGTCTCATGTCAGACTCTGCCAAGGGTTCCAGGGAAGAAAGAGATGATCATGATGGATTTGTTGTGTAGGCTACTTTCTTGTAGAATGTCCCTGGACAACCCAAATCATAAACTTGGATAAGACATCAGCAAAGGGCAAGAATGTCGTCTTCTCGCGGTGACCCTTGTGGGTCTGGAGATGCCGTATCTCACTTCAACTACAAATGTATGTATTTCTTACACAAAACAAAAACATGAGAAAGGTCAGAAAGGCATGTGTATGTTATACTAAGATATTTTTGGGCCACTCACAACCAGGTCATCATCATCAGCATTGGCCGCAACGCGATGGTTGGGCTCCTTGACTGATCTTCATGATCTTTTCTTTATTTCCCTGCTCCTTTTGGCACGAGTCTCTGAAAATGCCGAACTTGCACCCGGAAAAAGAATGGCCAACACCACGTGGAGGCCAAGATTACTTGCCAACGGTGTTCCTCCTTGCCAATGCACTGGACCGACGACGGTGAAGTTGAATCCCTAGGGGAACCCGACTGACTGGAAATTGTCATGGCTGAAAACGGCCAGAGAGATTCTTCAAGATAACTATATATAATTAGATGATACGTCAAGTATCCTCCGCCGTTCTATTCACAGAATTCCAAAAGAAGGAGACCTTACAAAGACCTCCCCCCGCCCGACCAGCGGCGCCCCCGCAGAGCCGGCCGACCTGCAACGCGCCCGCTACCCTGCTGCTTTTTTTGGCTCCGTCAGCCCGCTCGCAGCGTCGGTCACAGCAAGGCCAACATCTCCGGCAGAACCTCCGCGAGGTGCGCGGGGTGCGCGGGTGCAGCACGGTTCGCTCCCAAGCAGAAAGGTTGGGTGGAAAAGAGCCATGAAGCCATGGGACCGGTGGAGTTGAGCGTACTAGTAGCGGCAGGGTCGGTAGAGTATATAGTGGCGCATATCTGCAGGGCGAGTTCTAGCCGAAATGAAGTCGAGGAATGATGCTTTCATAGCTGGGCTTGGGAGTCTTGAGCGACTCCATCCTCCCTCCCTACCATCGCAAAGCTGAACAAAAACAGTGCCCCCAAAAACGAGCACCCCTCCATTTGGTGATCTCTTCCTTCATGATGGGACGATATCCGCTGAATGAGAAATGGGACGATCGAGATGGCACCCATGGATGTCATGGCACCGTCCAAGGATGTGCAGCACAAACGTCCAACTACAGCGGTTTCGTTCATGTCCCCCTTTGAGAACAGAGTCTGCCAACGGATACACACAAAATCGTGAATGAAAAGGAACACAACGCAACACCTGTCCAGCCTTGGCCAACTTGCGGGCAGGGTTCTGCCTCCCGTGCAACACCTCAGCGTAAGAAGACCTTCCTGTTGACTTCATTGGTGGACGCTTTCGGCCAAGTGGTCACCGGACGATCGGTGACATGTCTAAACACATAGGTTCTGCACGTAGACAAACTCACAAAAGCAAAAGTCACAAAAGCAGGAGTCTTTCTACCTACAGAGTTCGTTTGTACAGCCATTTCCTGGAAATTGTCTTGTAGATCAAAGCTCTTCTTGACGGATCAAATCTTTTGTGACTTCTCAAAAGACCCGTTCAGTCAATGCGATCTTCTCGGAACTCGTGTTTTTGCGCCGCTCTAGGTGCCCTCACCGCTTCTTGGTTCGCTTGTGCACATCTGACCACTTCCTGCGAACTCCAAATTTAAGACAAATCGCTTGACCAACCTGAGACGTTGGTGAAAAAACCACTGACATGCCATAAACCTGAGGATTTCAAAGTATGAACTGCTGATCCCAGTCCAAGGTCTTTGGCAAAGCGAATTGCACGAACCTCTGTGACGAAGGGTGACGAAACCTCTGTGGAGCGGTTTTCAGGGCGCCTCATGAGTTCAACCTCAACCTGGGCCTCGCCATCGCGTGGGTCGCCCATCATGGTGATTGACTCAACCGAAGATCATCCAGATCTATATCATTCGTTGACTTGATCATTGGTCAAAAAGGAAAAAAACGTACTTGATCAGACGTTCTTCAAGACCTCCATTGATCCCAGTCGACCGCAACTCCTCTGCCATGGAAGCGGTTCTTCGAGGCTCCGGAGACTGCATCGCCGAGGGTGACAGTCACCGAATGTCAAACGACACATCCCTTTCAAAGTGGTCCAGTTGAAACCTGAAACCAAAAGAAACTTCCAAATATCAACGTGTCTCATCCTCACTGTGTATATATATATACATACTGCGAATGCGCAACTGGTAACGGACTGGGCCTGTTTCTCGCTCGCGGATCGATGAACGAAGTAAAAAGGTAAAGTGAAACATGAATTCATGAAAGGATTCCCTGGATCGGCGTCTGTCGAAAGCTCTCTGGATTTGTGCGTGTCATCCTTAGTGCAGGGGCCGCGCAGGCCTGAACAAATGTGGCCTCACAGGCTCTGATGTTCGGACCGGCCTCAAATAAAAATGGCAGCGGAATACAAACAAAGTCAATCTGCTCTGAAAGCCTGCAACTCTCACATCCATTATATTTTCTTTGTTGACTTTGTAGCGGTTTCATCTGGAGATGATTCAGCTGCCTCTGCCTGCATCTGTCGTGCCAAATCTTTGATTCGATCATCTTTGATCTTCTGCTTCATGGGGTCTTCCTCCAGCACTTTGCGACGTGTCTGTCGCTGCAAGCGTTTCTTTTCTTTCGATTTCTTGCTTGCCTCTGTTTGAACAAGGCTCAACAAACCATCCTTCAGGTATTGAAACAAAGCCTTTGTCTGCTCCAAACCTTGTAAGGATATTTGCCATGTTCTGTTCTCCGTCTATCCAACGTGTATGAGCATTTGGTCGACGAACCGTCTCCCTCAACAATGCACCTTCAATTGCCATGCGCTTGTCGCTGCTTGCGCGTGTCGATTCTTTGCTCAAGTAGTCGAATACGGATCGTGCATCCGTGACATAGACCCGTTCTCGGGACTCTACTATTTTATCCCAATTCTTCAGATCAATGTCTCCTTCAAGAGCCTCTGCCAACAACACTGCCAACCAATCACCAGCCTCCACAGCTTCTGCAAGGTGTGCCGCCTCTGCGGCAAGGGTGCTCCGACAAACTCGCTTTGTCTGCTGGGACTGAAATGATAAAATGTTAGGGCGGACAGTTTCTCCAGTGAGAATGCCGGGATTTGCAAGCATCAAGAAGTAACCACCAACTGAACGGTATTTCAAGATACCATCTGTCTCTGGTGTTCCGTTTGCGTGTCCACTGTCAGCTAAATGAACCAAAACTGCTTTGTATGGATCAACATCTGACCAATACCGCAAACGAAAACCTGCTGCTCTGCGTGCTGCGGCAACTGTGGAACGAAGCCTCACAAGATCTGCAACACTAGGATCAGTTTTGCACCTTTGTATGCATCCATTGTCGTATGCAAGATCACATCTCAGTTGTCTTGTCACCCAACCCAATTCGCCAGCCGAAGATTGTAAAATGTCTTTCTCGCTAGCTGTTAGTCAAGCTTCAAGATGCATCTTCCGATCTTTGCTAATGGAAACTTTGTGCATGCTGCGGACATAGTTGTTCATCGTGACATCAATGTGGTTACCCGCAACTTGTCGGACTTCTCGGCCTCTAAAGGTGTAACTGTCGAGATGATTTGTTGCAAACTCAAGTGCCAAGGATGAACGCTGAAAAGCTTGTTCCATGTACTGTGCATCAATGCCTGCCTGGATGTCATCAACATGTGTGACCAAAATACCCTTGAGGCTGTTGTCAGGATCTCTCAGGTAAAACAAAGCCGGCTCTAGCCGGGACTCTGTGCAGCCGTCACTTTGAAGGTTCTCCTTCAACGCAAGCCAAAACAGTCTAGCAGCTTCTGCAAAGCCATAGATGACCTTCTTCGCTCGAAGAACCTGTCCAGTTTTGAGCCCTGGCAAACCTCCTCTCGGAGGTAAAAAATACAACTCATGGCCACTCTCTTTGACAGAAAAATATGCATTCTTGATGTCCTTGCAAATCATGCGAAAGCCGAAAAATGCTGAAAGGGTCAAAACCAGTGCTTCAGCCAACGATGAACCTGTCGGTGCATCACCCCTGTATTGACCAAGCGCTTTGTCTTTGAACCCTTGCACTACCAAACGACTTTTCGCAAAGAAAGGCTCATCCGGTTTGCCCTCTGATTTGTTCACGCGAACCCAACGTGTTGGAATGACACAATCTGACTTGCCTCGAAGGATCTGCTTGCTCTCTTCTATGGAAAGAACCTCGCAAGCATCTTTGTCCAACCAAGCTTTTCACTCTTTCTCGTCAGCTCCTCCGGGGCCTTCAAATAAAGCTCTGGTCTGTGGATCAAGATCCTTCAAATAAATCTCCTTTCGGGCTTTCTTTTTCTTGACCTCTTCTGGAACCTGCACGGAATTGCTCTTCAAGGAACTTTCTGAAAGCTTCTCATATCTGTCATGAAAATCATTCCTCTCAACGCCAAAAAGGAAAACGCCTTCTGTGACCTCAACTGCACTGTAAGCTTCAGCCTTCTCACAAAACATCTGTCTTGCTTGACCTACCAGGAGATCTGCTTCTGCCAAAACTTTGAAACAAAAGGAGCTTTGTCCAACATCTGTCATGGTCTCGGCATTTCCTGCAGAACCCACACGAAGTCTCTTCTCGCTCTTGTGCTTCTGTTGTGTCTGTTGCCTCTGGTATTGGAGGAACCTCTGTAGGAATAGCCTGTCGAAAGCTGTCCAAGTCTGGGTCATATTCCGGCCGGAATCTCCAACGCCTCTTTCAAAGGCAAGTCTGCCAAAGGCGGCAGTCTCTCACGCTCAACTCTTTTGGCATCACGTTTTTTTTCTCCTCGAAGAACTCATAGCTCTTTATGGAACACTTTCTGTCACGTTCCGACTCTAACTCCATGCGACCCATCGAAGTGGAGCTAGCTGAAAGATCTTCCCTGTCTGACTGCTGTGGAGGTTGTTCATCTGCTGGTCGGGGCTCCGACGGTGTGTATTCCTCATCAGCTTTCTTCTCTTCAAGTTCGGGTTTCGAGTCTGAAGGCATGTCCTGTGGAAAACCCTCTGACGGCGGCACTGGTCTTGAACGTATGTCCAGAAAACTAGTTCTGCCAGCTGCGGGCATCGCATCCAGCAAGGTCGTCTCATTGCTTGCCACCATCCAACCACGAATATCCTCCTCATTTGCGTGTGCAAGATGCTCTGGTGAGCTTGCTATTAAAAGACCTCTGTGCGAAATCCAAACTGTCGTACTGCCCTCATGTCCAACAACTCTCGCAACACCACGCCAGTGGTTGGGTCCTGGCGTTTGGTCACTCTGGTCGTAGAAGAAAACATAGTCAACAACCCTGAACGGACCTCGGGCTGGCCTCACTCGACGAAGCTCTCCTCTTCTCAACACAGCATCATTGGTTCACGCGCCGCCATCCTCAACTGGTTTCTCCGAAAAAACTTTGCACCCGGAGTCTCAGCGGCGCTTTGTGCACCTAAGCGGCTCACCTCTGACTCGTCTGTCAGGTCAGCTGGAAGACGAACGCTGCGACCGATCACCCACTGGGTAGGCGAAAAACCACAACGTCTTGCAAGATCGTTCCTCGCTGCGTTGACTGCTCCTGTGGCTATCAACATGTCTTCCTTGCCCTGCAATTGCTGATCCCAAACAAGTTTACGAAGTGTTGCTTTCCAAATTCCTCCAACTCTCTCAACAAAACCTATCTGCCATCAAAATCAACATAGCAAAATCAACATAGCAACCTTCATCGTTCAAGCGTGTTGCTAAAGAACCCAGAAAATATTTTGCTCGATCCAAAATCACACCACGCTCGGGCATGCCTGCCCAACCGCACCATCCCATCTCGAAAGCTTGAATGATGTCTGTACTGGTTGGGTTGCGCAGTGTCTCACAAAGCAAACAACAAACCTGAAAACTTGTCCCCTGATCGACAATGTTCAACCAGGTCCACTCACCTCCTCCAGCATCCTTCTCGTTAAAAACATCCATACCCACGACAACATTGAACTCGTCGATTTGAGCCAGTTTTGAAGGTCTTGGGATTTTGGGTTCCAAAAGATGTGGACAAGTGGGACAACGAAACCAGCGGCATGCACGAAGAGCAACCTCTGAAGCTTTTGAAATCCTCAATGCTCTCAACATATCTGGCAACCGTGCATGGCCAAGGTTTGTGTGTATCCGTTGCAACGCTAACTTCAACTCACCTGGCAAAGCATTCCACTTTCTCACTCTCTCAGCCTCTTTGTGTCTCAAAGGATCAGACTGAGCGACCCCTTCACCTTCCTGTTCTTCCTCACCTACATGCATTCAAAAAAGGGTGACACAAAACTTCCGCGGCTTGTTGGGCATTTGGCGCAGCTGTGAACTAGGTGCTAATTGCTGCTAATCCTCCCAGCCTGTGGACAAAATGTCATTGCTGGTCATGAGAAGAACTGTCTTCCTCAAAGGAGCTTGAGCAGCCTGGAGATGTGGCTGCGGCTTCCGTAGTCTCCGAGCATCACGTGACATCATGATGAGTCGGATGTCAGCTTGAGCGGACTCTTGAGACTTCCACTCTTTTGCAACTTCGGAGTCAAGTGGCATGATGATCCATCCACCTGAGGCACCACGCTCATCATACATCTCCACAGGCAGCTCGACAAGGGTGTTGGTCATCTGTTTTGTTTCGATTGTCCAAAGACCTCTCTGTAACTGTCGAGTCCTTGTCCTCTTTCTCTTTAAGACCTTGTGTGATTCAAACTGTGTAGGCGCTGCCTCCTCAGGTAATGTTGCAAGTTCTTGTGGGTGAAGATGGAAAACTGTATGTCCTGTCCAAGTTCTATCTAAATCCCGTCCCCCATCCAAACGATCTGTCCCATCGTCTTCAAAAGAAAAAGACTGTTTCTCTCCAAGGTTGGTCCCATGGACTGAACGCCGGTTGGTGAAGCGTTCAACAGGCACCGGTGGGTCAGCTCCGTCCAAAGGAATAAATAAAGCTCTGCGAGGGACTCTGTGGTGACGAATCAGTTGGTTGACATCTTCCGGTTCGGTGTCATACACCGGCATGGCATGATCGCCACGCACCTCATGAAGCACATATTGCAATTCCATCTCCTTCCTAATTCCTCTGCAAATGTCTGCAAAGACCCAAAGGATATTCTGCTGCCTGACTTGCACGGTTTCCCCACGCATTGTTTCCGACAATCTGTTGATGAGAGCCATGGGGACAAGTGCATTGTCTGCAAACTGGGTTCAACAAAATCTCTGAATGGCTGAGCCAACCTGTTCGCTTCCTCTCGGGCAAATGATTGATTGGGTCACGCTTGCCAAAACAACATTGGTCGCCAACTGCAAACTTTCCTCCGAAACGATGCAAAAGCAAACACAAAATGCCATGGTATTTCCAAGCCTTGGATGTCTGTGGATTCTCGACCAGGAAAAATCTGTTGTGCTCTGCTTGGAATTTGCAAATGTCACGAACCAAACGAAGTGTTTTCAGACCTATGGTTTTCCGCAAAAACTCCCAAGCGCCTTCAAGATTCATGTTGGCCATGATGGACCAGATACGACAATCAAATGCACTCAGAACAAGGAAAGGTTTGTGCTTCCGGAGAATGTTCCACAAAAGGTTGCGACCTGCTTTTCCCAAGAGATCATAGCCGTCAAGGCGATCTAAAACTTGACTGCAAGTCCAGCCCCACACTCTCCCGACGCAACACGCGTCGTTCCAAAGCGCCCTCCAAATGGTTCAAAGAGAACGGTCGTCGTGAACCCTTCTGTAGCTGCCTGTTCTGCTAACGTGTATTCTCTGTCTTTTCAGTGCTACCCAGGTCCTTTGGTCTTCCAGTCGAAGTCGCACCATTGTTTTGCTCAACTCCTTGGCACGACGGGTGGAAACCTCACCTCGAGCGTCATCTGCATGAATGCCTCGCGGCCCAAAGCTTGCTGCGCAACTAACCTCTGCTTCTGCTGGCATGTTTGGTTTGACTTCTGTAAACATGAGAGAGTATGCGCTCCTGACCTAGATAAACAAACAAATCGTCGTTCACTGACTTGCAAACTCGTGTGTCTTGACTGTTTGCTAGAACGCCCGACAAATGTTCGTCATATGCCACACGAACTGCAAGATGCTTTGTTCCTGTCTCTACGAGCTCAAGATCCATCTGCAACTCTTCAACTCTCATGATCTTTCTGCGCATGAACAAAATGGCATCCAAAGCTACCAATGAAGCAATGCTCAACAACAAAGGGGTTGTACCTGTACCAACCTCTGCTGAATGCACAAAACCGGGCCGGTTACCCAGAAAATTTTGGAATTTTCCACACGGCGCACGGGTGCTTGTTGAAGAACCATCTGCGAAATTTAAAACTTTGGAATGTTCTGTCCTCATGCATTCATAGCCTGGAGGCAAAGACTTGCTGTATTCAATGCGCCAACTCTGTGAGTGCATACAGGAAGTGGGAGCGGGGTCCACCAGCGCTGAACGAGATTCATTGACACCTGAACTTTCTTTTAGTTGATGATGCGCCCTCAAAGCGTTTTCTGCTCTAGCATCAACCTTGATCTCTTCCTCTTTGGCAACTAAAGCAGAAACATGTTCACCTGCTGGAAACGAAATCATTGGGCGCCATGGAGGCGTAGGCTGCAAGCCCTCGTGCTCGAATGTCTCCACCATAGCCGGATGCCTTGGGAACTCCTCCGGCGCGTCAGCTGATGATGCTGCTGCCGATGCTTTTGACGTGGCTGGCACGGTTCCAAATATGCCACTCGGCTTTGGGTCTTTCGAAGCTTCTGAACTGTTTGCCTCTTCAACCAGCCTGATGAACTTCATGGCGCAATTCTTCTTGGGCACTGGCTCGCCTCGACAAAAGGTCTCGAGACGATCTTTCAGATCCTGCTTGGAACCTGTGGTCTGAATGCCCCACTTGTTGCACAACTCCTGCAACTGGTACACCTTCAACTCTTTCATTGACTGGGGCCTCGAATCATTCAAACTCTCCACCTCCAAGGTCTCGATCTGCGCTGTCACTGTGGGACGAATGACTTCCTCATGAGTGGATGAAATCAATCGACTGCCTGTCGGAGTCGTTGATGTTGTCTCCGAACGCCACAGCATGACACCTGGCATTGGAGGCTCACTGATCTTGTCCCACTCTGACTCGGCATACGATGTCGCCGGCTTCTTTCGCTTGTCGTCCTGCTCGGTGTAGCCAGCATCCTGAACCATGCGTTCCTCCTCCGAATCAACTCCATGGACCATGTAGCAAAGCTCCGGATCATCTTCCATCACCAACTGCAGCTCATCCTCATCCAGATCACCCAGATTGCAATAAGCTGGCTCCGATGACACCATGTAGGCCGCACGACCACGGCCCTTCGACTTGCCGCTCTTGCCACGCTTGCCCTTCGAACTGCTTTTGCCCAAATTGGTGGAACTGCTTTTGGGACAAATCGGATATCTGGCCCAGTGGCCAAACTTGTGACAAGCTCCACAACGACTCCTCTGCTTCTCCTGGTTGACCAACGCTTGGCGATCATCTGAACCGGGAGCCTTGTAAAATCCTCTGGATTTCTGCACTTCTCTCAAGCGGCGTCTGGCCTGCTGGTAGCCGCCACGATGCTTGTCCATTGCCACATAGGCTTCATAGACCTCTTGATCTTCACTAGCTCCGCAGTTCGAAGCAACATCATTCGGCTCTTCACCAACGTCCTCTGAGATGGCCTGCATCGCTTCTTCAGCTTCCCAATCCTCTTCATGATCATAGGATTCCTCAGCTCCATCTTCGCCCTCATAGAAAGCCTCTTCAGCTTCCTCATCATCTTCAGCAACATGGTAGCTACGCTTGCTGTAGCGAGGATGAGGGCGACGGGTATCTTGTGGCCAGGCATGCTTCTTCTCACGTTCATGCAAATCATGAAAGGATACACGGAGTGACTGCTCAATGCCCTTTCGCTCATAAGCATTTCGATTGGCCAGCAGAATGGACCTCCGATCTTCTTTAGACAATCCACAACCCTTCAGGATGAAATAGCTGAGGAGATCTTCTGACATAGCGGAAGCGTCATCTAAGTCCTTCAAATCTTGCCACGCATGCTTGGATCTTAGAACGAAGATAGCCGTCGATCGGCTCACCACGCTTCCGGGTCGAATGCTCAAAGAACTTGTCGAAGGCTTCGGTCTTCTTGATGATGCTCTCCTTCTCAATGGATTGCAGTGCTGCAAAAACTTCTTTATAGCCATCAACTTTCTTCAGACGCTCGGGCTCCAAGACTAAATGCTCCACTGCCCTCCATGCTTCACCATGCAACCCATTGACCAACTTCAATGCGAATCGCTTCTGTCATTTCTCCAGGTCGGCAGCTTCTTTCTGAGGCGTATCGCCTTCACCCTCCAAGCTGCCAAAAGCAAAGAGAACTCTACGACGGTATTCTTTCATCAAGTGAGGCTGCATCCCGGTGAAGTGTGGCACACCTTCCTTATCGACCACAATCTCATAGTCGGACCAGAACTGCTTACCGGCAACGGAAGCATCAGCCATGGAGCACCAGCTCCGCTGCCAGTGCGAGTGCGCAACTGGTAACGGCTCGCTCGCGGATCGATGAACGAAGTAAAAAGGTAAAGTGAAACATGAATTCATGAAAGGATTCCCTGGATCTGCGTTTGTCGAAAGCTCTCTGGATTGTGCGTGTCATCCTTAGTGCAGGGGCCGCGCAGGCCTGAACAAATGTGGCCTCACAGGCTCTGATGTTCGGACCGGCCTCAAATAAAAATCGCAGCGGAATACAAACAAAGTCAATCTGCTCTGAAAGCCTGCAACTCTCACACATACATATGTATATAACCTCTAGTTGTTTTTAACACGCTGGACGGAAGCTGCACATATCCGCAATGGACAAAAGCGGCCCTACCATCACTCCAGGCAATGCGAGGGTTTTGACCAATTTGATGCCCAAGACCACAATGTTCCACACATCGCTTCCAAAATTATCTGAAACCTCGCCTCGTTCGCCTCGTCGACGACCTCATCATCCACACTTTCCCGCCGACGCTTTTGACCTGACCAGGGCCCAGCACGCCCGTCCACCCTGCAGAAGTTCCACCAGGAAAAATTGCAGGAAAACAAGCAAAGATCATTTGAAGAAGATGGGAGCGGGGTGGCAGGAGAGGTTTGGAACCAATCCTGCCCAAATCTGTAAACTAGTAATTAGAGGGGGTGGCAGGAGAGTTTGGAACTGATCCTGTCCTTTTTTGAAAAAGATGAGTGTGAGCACAACCTCTTGAGCTCATTTGGGCCGGAAAAAATGTTGCAAGTGAGCACGGTTCCAGCGGGAAAAGTGACCCGTGTGGTGCTATGTATGTCTGGGGGTTGGCGTGCATCATATGCATCGTGAGGGGCGAACAAATTATTCTTCATTTGTATTCCCGTGTGGTTCCCCTGGTCGAATTTTCTTTGATTCTAAGACCGCTTCTAAAAGGCCATCCCTAAGACCAAGTGCTCTTCATCATTCTGGTATATTCTTGACAAGTGAGACCGGTTTTTCAAGCTCCCCCCCTGCAAGTCGCGGGTTCTGTGCTTCAAAAAAAGCGATGGACCCTGTCACAGGAACACCTCTTCCTCCAGGGATCTGGCGCGGAACCGTTGACTCTCCGTCGCCCTGCCTCGCCGGACGAGCTCCTCGCTGGACGTTGCCTCCGCGAGGGTCCCCAAGGCCACCAGCCAAAGCTCTCCGTGGACTGGGCGGTCACTCCGAGGCTCGAGGACGGAGCTCCCGTGCTCGGACGAGTAGAAGGGTCAGTAATGCAAAGACCTATGACCTATAATTGGTCTACGGCCCGGGCCGGTTCTTGACATAGCGGCTCAACGAACCTCCATATATAAATTCTAGTTATACAAAAACGTCCATTGGCCATCAGAACATATCAGATCATATATATATATATATATCATATCAGAACCAAAGCACTTTTGTGGAAGAGTTGGTCCCCCGATCGAACTCGACCACCAACGGGTCGGGTTCTTCTTCGCCCTTCTCCGCCCTTCTCCGCCTCCAAAAGCTTCGGAGAGGTTTTCGACCACGTTCATCACAGCCCTTGGGTCACCTCAGTGTCTAAGTTGGGATGTTTTCAACAACACCTTTTCACACCCTTCCCCTTTGAAATGTACAAGAAACACATCATGATCTAAAGGTCTCATATGTAGTTGATTTTTACGCAGCGGTGCCAAGAGTCTTTGAGTGTTCAGCCTGAGAAAAAGTCCACTCGGGCCCTTCCAAATTTTCATGAACTCACCGCGCCTCCAGGGCCCACAGCCATCCTCAAGGCCTCGAGCACCGCAAGCAAAGCGCCCGCTGCGCTGCTGGCATCCGCCGTCGGCTGCGGGCCGCGCCAGCGCGTGGCGAAGGCCGGCAGGAGCACCTGCACACGAAAGGAGCAAAGGTAGGGGGCGAAGCAGGGCCAAGCAGGCAAAGCAGCGACTTGCTAAGTCTGTGGTTTTGGATTGGTTTCGAGGGAAGGGAATTGGATGTGGATTCGCAGGTCCAAAGGCTAGCAACCTGTTGTTTGGCCTGTTCAGAGTTGAGTCTGCATGTCAAAACAAGATTTTGACACTGCGATGAGACTGGATGGCACCTCGCGCACTGCCTGGGGCCCCAGTTGCATCAGAGCAAAGGCAACGCCTTCGACCGCGCGCCAAAAGGGGCGACGATGCAGAGCCTTGCGGAGCAGCTCTCGTACCTGCCAGCCACCATCGTTTCCTCGCCTCTGAGAGGTTGAAGCTTCTCACGGTTGAAGCTTCTCACGGTAGACAGTGCTGTACCATCGGAACAAAAGTTTGGTGGACCTAATGCTGGACCCTCACGCTCCCCAAAAAACGCTCCCTGAAGTCAAAAGCAACAAACCAGGTGGCAGGACCGATCTACCAATGATGACCAATCTCACCCGCGCCTCATCACCCAATTCCGGCCAACTGTGTTGGTGATGGCGCACCAGTCGACCCAGCACGTCTGCCGGCGAGGACGTCTGCCGTTTTGGGCACGTTTTTCGCTTCGTTTGGTCGAAGGTCAAAGACCCCAAACTGTCCCAACCCTGGATGCACTGGTTGGGGAGATGCCTGTTCTGAGGGCGGTTTCTTGTTGCCTTCTCAGGGTTTACTTATTGCAACGGGCACGTGTTGGGAACCCCACGGGTACGTGGAGACTCAACTCCGCAGCACAGGGAGTTAAGTCTCAATCGGAATTGGATCAAACGTCTAAGCTGTTGGAAGGTGCTGCTAGTGGACGTCTAATATGGCCTCACACACACAAACACACGAAAGGAATGTCAATGTCATCTCTCAGAGGAAGCCCAAGAGGAGCTCCTGGTAGGAAGTCTCAGACGTCGCATGAAGCAAGTCTATGTTGGCGTCGGTAGGTGTGGTACCACATCTCCAGAATGCCGGACACCGGATCCCAAGCGGATCCCAGTCATCCCAGTGATCCCATATAAAATTCGCAAACATTGGTACAAAGAGGATACAAATACAAAGGACACGAAGGAGAAGAAGAAGAAGGAGAATAGCATACTTAGTGTTACAGTTGTTGGATGCAAGAAGCTAAAGTGTTCAAGCACTAGTGTGTTTTCTTTGGACTTTCACAATCAGTGGTTCCTTCTCTCACCAAATCCGAAGACACTAGCTAAAAGAACCCTACCAGGTACCCGCTTGGGGGGTCTCCATCTCGCAAACCATCAAATGGTGAACTCAGCATCTTTTGCTACGAGTCCTGGGTTGCGACCCTCTGAACGCCCATCAACGCCACAAAACGCTTTTGATCCTCCCTCGTAACAAACATGGAAGTGGAACATGGCCCGAAAGCAAGACCGTTTCCCTCTACAAACAGGCCGTGCCATCCACGTAACCATGATTGTTTCAGGGAGAGTATATAAGTGTGTCAACCACTTCGGAAGCTGACCCCAAGCTCGCACCTGCTGCACGTCGACTCACATTGCTACCATGTCCGAAGGACCATGAGCTGCGACATCCTGCTCAAGCAAATGCTGCTGATGCAGAGTTTTCGACATGAAACGACAAAGGTTCATTCAATGTCATTCAGAAACCTAAGGGCCTGAAACAAGCTATGAAGGTTTGGAGAAAGCAATCGCAGTCCTGTTTTTGAGTGTCTTCTGATGTTCGCCCTTGGAGCCAACTACTGTAGTGGGTGCGTTCTCATCCCACAAGCATCACGAACACCCACCTGGCATTGGTGAAGAATCAAAAAACATCTGGCGATTGATGAGTCGAGCAGCTGCGAAGAGAGCTTAAAAAAGACAACCAAACCTGGCTGATGCAGCTGTGTTCCAGCAGTCCCTGCCAAATCGGACCCATCTCCGATGTCATTTCAGCACGTGTCACAGTCAGCACGCAGCACGTGTCAATGACTGAGAAAGACTTTTGGGGTGATAGGGAGACAACTCCAAAGAACCCCTGGAAGGTTCGGAAAATCGGCCCATTGAGCGAGGTCTTAACCCACTTAGGATATTCCTTCTCTTTCCCACCCTGTGGAGATCCAGTCCTTCGTGCACATCCCGGTGGCCCATGCACAGCACCAGCAACGGAGCGAGACACAAGTGAAGATGCCTTGGTGCCCGGAAGCGCCGACAAACGCGGAAAAAGCGATGCACCGTGACAGGGAAGGGCTTGGACCTGGGTGGTGCTTGGGGGATGTGCCGATCCTGTGGCGCCGAAACGCTGCGATTTCGAGGATCCACATCTTGCGGTGTTCGGTCCAGGAAGTGGAGCACAGCTGAGACGAAGAAGAAAAACATCGCTTATCATTCACTCTTGGCCTTTGGAGCCATTGCCATTGGTGTTTCTTGGACGGAGCCAAGGCGCTGTAAGCCGCCAGTCGAAGCGCCCAGAGTGATCGACCTGGCAGGATGGAGACAGCCTCGCTTGTATCGAAACGGAAAAAGACAGAAGTTGCACCAGGTGTCCCTTCAAGATCAGCAAAGAAATACTTTGCATATCGTTGCATACATTCAACTCTTGAGAAGGAAAAGGATATACAAAACGGAGCAAAAAAGAATGGCCGGATGCACTCGAGCATCTCCAGCAAGACAAGCAGCTCCTCATCCCCAGCAGTCATTATCCGTTTTGGCCTCAAGTGAGTTCACAAAACGTCTCACGAAGGACGGCGTGCCAAAGGTCCATGCCATCAGGTTCCATGTTCATCTTCCCGGGACTGACTTCTCCTCAAAATGCACACATGGGCCAATCTGTGCGTGTGTGTGTGTCCGGAACTGTTCAGGGACCCCTGGCAAGCTCTCACGAGGTTGGTAGGTCTGGTCTCTGCGAAGTGCGCCACGCGACGCGCCACGCCACACCCATCACCGAGTTCACTCGACACGACCGTTCGTGCTTCGCTGGTTGTTTTGGGGGTGTGAAGGTTCGTGGCTGTGCTGTGGAGGACGGTTTTGGGGGGATTGTTGAACAGCACTAGCAAGCAAATCCCAAAGGATCCAGAACAAAAAAGGAAACACCATCAAAAAGAGTTACCGGTGGTTCCAAAGACTTTGACAGAAGTATCTGTTTGTTTCTTTTCAACGGCCAAGTGACACATGCTGTGCCAAGAATTCCGCCACGGCCGTCATGCTCTCGGCATCCAGCTGCGCCAGTTGTAAGGCGGAGCGCCTCAGATCCAAATGTCCAACCAAGGTCATCCAAGAGTATGTTTGCTGGTTTCTCGCCCATATAATGTGAAACCAGGAATGGACACCGTGTCCAAAACGATTTAAGTCTACCATGTGATTCTTCCATATTTATGTGGCTTTCGAGGCTTGCATTACCTTGACAAAATATTCAAACACCTCCGAGAATAAAAGGTATTCCATTGGTTCGATCTAAGCACCTTCTTCAGCTCACCCTGATGTTGGATTCTGTGATTGCTTAGCAACTTGTCGAGGTTGGTATGCTGGCCAAGCTTCAAAAATCCTCATCAATATGATTGCGCATCCCTAGCAACCCTTCCCCTCAAACCATGCCACGATGCATGTTCTTTCTTTGGGTATACTGGACCTCGAGGATGTCATCAATCTGGAAATGGCCTAACAATCTAAAAGCAAAAATATCCTGAACGTCACGTGGTTGAAATGTTCCCCCCATTCGATCCTCTTCTTTTCATCAAAGTCCTGTCATCTTTCATCCGTGGTGCGTGCGTTCAGCTGCCTCAATGTCACCCACCAACTTCACCACCTTGACCTTTTGCTCCTCGACGAGGGGCCGGCGCGTGGGCCCCACGAAAAGCGAACAGCCTAAAGAAAAGCGAGCCACAGCTGATCCTTCCTTTCTGGAGAATAGGAGACGTAAATTCAGGGTTTTGACCCTCAGAATGGAAGACAAATCCATCATTTTGCAAGGAAGATTCCTTCTTTTCGCGCCGTTTTTTTGACCTGACACCTCTGAAGCGGACCGTAGACGACCCGGCGACCAACCCCTGCAGGGCCTGGCTGAGCTGCGGCTTCTTTGGTCGCGGAGCTTCAGCTTTTTCAGAGCATTGAAACCTCCACGAGAGACTGAGAGTCATGAGTCCCAGTCATGACTCACTTTTACTTCATGTTGACTCATTTTACCCCGAACTGGTAGTGGTGGATTATGACTTCTAGGTGGGGTAGTTCTGGTCAAAATGGAAGTTTTGGGTACTCTAGAGAAGATGGAACTGCGACATTTGGAAGTCTCAAAATCAGGTTTTGCTGGACCACGTCACACAAGACTTCTTACTTCAGCAAAACACAGGAGATGTCCAGATGAAGGTCGTGTCAGTTGGCAGAGGACATTAGCAGCACACAATGACCCTCGTGCGTTTGTCGCTTGAACTGCATTTCGTTCAACAAACAAAGCTTACAATCAAATAACCAAATATTTATATTTATATAATAGTAGTAACTGTGTTGAATCCTCAGCTGCAGATAGGGTCCAAAAAACCTACTGTATCCACCTCTTCCCGTGGGGCGCGTTTCGTTGCCCAAGCATCGTCGGCACACATTCCCCCACTCAGTCGTAGCTGCTGACAATCGGCCCAGAACTTCTCAGAAACAGAACCTCCTGGACCTTCCCTCGTTTTTGGCAAAAATTCTTCACACCATCCGATCCTTCTTCCATCTTCTTGCTTCCCCGTCCGCCGTCTCCACCTCTCCGGCTCGATCGCCTCGCTGGCCCGGCGCAAGATCGCCACGGCCGCGTCGCCCGCGGCACCCGAGACCGAGCCACTGGGCCTCCTGGGTGGGTTTCGGCCCGCGGAAGGGGACGGCCCACGGTGTGCCAAGCGGAAAACAAGGAGACGACGGAAAGGAACCGGGACCGAAACTGTGGGTAGCAAAGTGCATCAACAATCGCTCAAAGCAATCGCGGGAATCGTTACCTCAAACAATCATAAATTCAAATAAGTAAGAGAAGTATTTCAGAGTAGATGGCACAAACCCAAAGATGCCTTTTATATAGGGGTCCAGGCAAACCACCTTTAGCCTGAAACCACTGTAGAAGAACGAGACAAGCATGAAAACTGTCCTGTTTTGCCCCTTCGCCTTCAAGAGCTCCGAAGATAAACATCTCACCACGTTCTGGCCTGACGCGAATGTCAGGGTTAGCAAGGAAACTTCATTGGCGACGTCGCCTTGGGAATTCATGGGCATCCTATGGTTGGTGGACAAGTTCGACCCTGCCAAGTGGGATACTTGTGATCACCGCTTCAGACTGCTAAGAATGCTGCTTTTCACGTTTCTCAGAGCGGAAAAGGTTTCAACGCAAACTACTGAGAAACCTGTTCGGCTGCAGAATCCATCCACCTCCGATGCAAACGTCACCTCCTCCGTCCCTCCCTCCGTCCCTCTCTACCACCGCCTCGGCTCTGGCGCGCATAGACAAAGCCCGCGGCGAGCTTAGCGAGGTTGCCACGCTCCATCTCTTCCCAGGCGTCCGCGACATCGCGCCTCAGAGCTCCGAGGAACGCGGCGAGGCACCACGGCGAGGCGCCCAACGACCGCGGTTTCTCGCCGGCCAGGGTCATGGTTGGGTCGGGCAAACACCAATGGATCCTGTGTCTCCAAAATGGAGAGTGATTGGTTCTAGGTAAACCTCTTATTGGGGGGGGGGAGCCTGTACCTGGGGCCGAAGTCGACCAACCCGGAGTCAACGCAGCGTGGTGCTTGCTGCCCAAACGGCTGCGTGAGCATGCAGCCTCTCCCCCGTCGCGCCAAGCGCAAGGCTCGGCGCAGCAGCAATCGCAACCTGAGCCTGAGTGGAACGAGCAAAGGTTGGAGGAGATGGACTATAGAATGTAAGACGGTTGATGAAAAAGCAACATATATTGTGCAACAATGTGCAACATATATTGTGAGGTTTGGCCATCCAGGCTAAGTTTCGCCTCAACAGAAAACACCCAACCAGCCTCCACTTCAATCCACCCCCAAAAGAAATTCTGACCACGTCGTCGTTGTTCACCACACCGGAGGCCAACGACACGGTATCTTTTTCCAACACCGCCTTCGTTCGACTGTACGTCCACGGACGGTTCGCCGAGCCGGCTCGGCTCGGCACTCCAGGTGCAACGAGACTTCGACGGCCGTCTCATCCAACAGCGCCACGCCTCGGGCCGGGTGGCCGAGCCATGGGACGACCTTCCCAGACAACCGGGGAGGTTGGAGGTTGGAGGTGTGACAAAACCACGGACTTACACTCCCGGGAACTAACATGGTTACGTGGATGGCCTGGCCCCGAAAGGAAGACCAAGAAATCCACTACAAACAGGTGGTGCACGCCACTTCCATGTTAGTTCCAGGGAGAGTAATGCATCTGGTGTGGCACTGGTGTGTTGACAGGTCAAGCTGTTTCTGCGATAGCAAAATGCAGTGATGCAACCCCCTATCACTTGCCAATGCGCCTGAACGGCCGGCGGCATAATGCGCCAAAGCTGTACCAAGTGCTTCCATATGACAGAACTGGTGTTACTCCTTGCAACTGGCCTCGCAGTCATTGCATTGACTGAATTGCAAAGAAAAACATATTGATAGCCATGTGGTATTCAATGTGCAACAGGATACCAAGCATCAAATGCTGCCCCTCAGTTCCTAACGTGTGCAAAACGATAGCTGAGACCTTTCCAGGATCTGCAGGCATGTTCTTGTGTGGTTTTCTCAGCAGTTGTGGCTGCTCCTGTTGAAGAGCAAGTAAAAGCATGTAAAAGCCGGCGGGATGCATCTTCAATTGACTAGCATTGTGAGCATCCTCATGACGCTCAAGTGATGACTCCAATGACAAGCTTGACAATGCAAAGTGCACCCCTCGAGTCACTGAAAATGGATACAGTAGCTGTCTGTTTCAAGCAATGCATTCCAAGCAGAGCCCATTCATTGAGGTCTCGCAGCAGGTCGCGGCACAGCGCGGCGGGGTCACAAGATGTTCCCCCAAAGTCGCGAGGAGTTGCGAAGCTAAGTTTACAATCAGATGCAGATTCATTCTCATGTTTCAACTTTCAACAAATGGGGATACTTGTGACCGCATCACATCGGTTTCATGTGTTGGCGACCACCGGTGAGGTGACCTGTATTGGCAGCCCTGCTCAGCAGAGCTTTCAATCAAAGGCATAGAAGGGCACCTTCGGCCGCGATGGCCGTTCTTTCGGAGGGCGTCGCAGCAGTGGGTCCTTCCAGGAGTCACAAGACGGGGTGGTGTTTAGTCCCATCCAGTGAGTGGATGTTCTGGCCACCCCTAACCTCCATGGATCGCATCCCTTTGTGACTGCTGGTTGATGTTTTTGGTTTTGGGAAGATCTCATCCATCCCCTCATGCGCTCCATCATGTCATCCATCCCCATGACCCGCATCTGCTTCGCATCTGCTTGTAGTTGATCTGCCCCTGAGAAGCCTCTTCACCGATGTTCAGGAACTCCCCCAACGGAGATCGTTTTTTTGCGGTGGGAACCAACGGACGCAGTAACAAACGGCCTTTTTTCCGATACGAAGATAGGGGGGCCAAGTTGTTGGCATGAAAAGGTTCTGTGTTTGCTCCACTTCCGCTGAGCTTCTCCGGCTGAGTTCTCCAGCTGAGTAGACTTAGCTATTGGAGGCCGAAGGTGCAGGAACCTGGTCGCAGGGGTCTCCATGGTCCATGGCGGAGGTGGCTGAGTTGACGTGGAAACTCCAACCAATGCCTGTTCAGCTACTTGTCCTTTGTCCATTGGGATTTGGGGATGCTACACATCATCTCTGAATATCTCTGGTACCTTTGAAGGACATGTCTTTGTAGGTCTCTGGAACTCCCAACTAATTCCCGAGATACATTTCAGGTCAGCCACCAATCCGGGTTCATGATGCCAGCAATAATTACATGGCAATATTCATCATACGCCTTGCACCTTCTCTCGTCAACAACTCTGTGAAGATCTCATGTGCGGACTCTCGCATTTGTTCCACTGCCACGGAATCACGGTGAGAATTGAACATCACAACTCACAAGAACTACTGCATTCAAGAAGTGAGCGTATCTCTAACTGAAAACCCTTCGTGGGACACCGTTCCTCTGCAGCTCCCATCCGCAAAACAAAAAAAACACGCCCCCAAAACAAAGGTGCCACGTGCCACGGCTTGTCGTGGCTCGCTTTGCGCCACGGGTCTTGCTTTGGCTGAACCCGCCGATGCACGGCCATCGTCTTCTCGGTGCCTTATAGACTTTGAAGAAGTTGCTTTCCGCCGAGGCCATCAGCGATTGGTCGCTGGCGATCGATATACTCCTGGGCGTCGCGTCGACGTTATCGTCGCGTCGGCGGGCTGGGACCGGAACGACAGTCCGGCAGTCGTGTGGCCATGCTGCCGTCGCTGTGTCTGTCCTCTGTTTTCCTCAGTTGATCTGTTGAGGAAGGTAAAAAGGAACAGAAAAGGCAAACACTCAGCCAGTCCTCACTCCAGGATTGTCGTAGGCACAGCTTGTCTCACCTCACATCGCTGCGTCGAGACAACGTCAAGCACCAGCCCTAATCTTGGTTGGACTGTTGTGAAGCGTCCATTCTTCAGACTCACCCTCTAGAAAATTCTGAGCTATGGCATCTGTGGGAATTTCACATGACGATTTTGTATTTCTAAGGAGTCTCTAGAAACCTTTGCAGGACCAGCGGTCCAAAAAACCACCGCCATCGGGCTAAAAGCCCCAGGAAACCGGGCATCCAGTGAGAAGCCCTGGCAAATATAGAGAAGTCTTGTAACCATGCGAATATGGATTGATTTCAGTGGTTTCCAGGGTCGAGATTGTTCTGAAAATCATGAAACTGAATGAAACTTCCTCTGCTTCGAAACCCAGCAGCTTTCCATAGCTTTCCATCTAGAATCTAGGTTTACATCAAAAGGACTCGCACAACCTGCTAGTGACTTTCAACTAAATACACGTTCTTTAAATGTAGTGTTCAATGGTGCTCTCATCTTGGATCACTCTAGAATCTCCTCCCACGCAAATCCTTCAAAGAATCTCCATTCAGAGTGGCTGTTGTAGAGATTGAAGACCAGCTGTAGACCTTCTGTGCAGCTACCTGGCCCAACTCACCCCTTTTTGGCCAAGAGAACATCACACTAAGACCAAGAGGGCATCACACTATATGCATACTATGTGTCGTTTGACCAGGTAGTTACTGTCATATTGGCAGATGGTGACAAAGTGCTCATCTGCGTTTGGGACCCGCTCAAGTTCAGCTTCAAGATTGAATGTTGGCAAGCAAGGAGGATTGAATCAGAGCATCCACAAATCACCGATCTGTGATTCAAACCTGATGTGATTCACCTCTCAACGTCGGGAAACAGACCCAGAGAACTTCCAATCAAGATCCAAATCAAGATCCAAGTCGGTGTCTCAATTCTCACCGAAAGATCTCCACGTAGCGAGACCTCGCGAGGTCTCACCACACGAGAACGCTTGGTGTTTCCAAGGCGACCCGGGCCCTGACTGAGACCCGACCGCGCATCGTTTCGGAGCACCGCAGTCCGATCACCCCAAGCACTAGACTCGACACTCAGACAGTCGGTCCCCTGCAGTCGTCTCGGCGCGTCATGCGCTAAGCACAGGCCAGTTGTGGCACAAGAGATGCGCCGAGCTCCTGTCCCCAATGCGGTGCGAGATGGACTCAACATTGAAATTGTGGACGGGTTTGTTCGGTTGAAGGAATTCAAAAACCCCTTGAAGTCCATGAGGCCTTCTAAGCCCCATCACCACATATAAAGGCCGAGGTGCAGAAGGTGGAGAGTCACATTGCCTCCACCAAACGGGTCACCGGGTCATCCAGTTGGATGGAAGGTGCGCCGCGCTGAACCCGTTTGGTCTCGGTGGATCGTCTTCACCCCTGAAAAAAACATGGCATTCTACAAGCCTGCGACGGATGCGTTGCTGTTTGGAGATCAGGATGACGGAAGACCAGTCTGAAAAGGGTCAATCAAGCCGAGCCTACTTACTTGCATCCACCTTCCAGCGCAAAGGGTTTCATGAGAGAAGCCAGGTATCCGCTGCGCGCGTGCGAAGCGGAGGCAGTCTTGTAGCAAAAGCTCAATGATGCGCACGGCGATGGAATTGGAACCCTGTAGACCTTCGGCACACGATGAATGCAGCGATGCCCAGGGCATGTCTTTCATCAAAACAATTTTTGTCATCAAGACGTGTCCAAACTGGGCGAATGTGATATGAAAATAGGAGACCCTAATAGGCAGCTCTTCTATCTATTCTATACCTTTTGCCACCTGAGAAGGGATTACGACTAACGCCAGACTAGGAGGGAACTGTATCATGCAAGGCTCAACCAGCTTTCAAGCGCCCGAGAAGAAAAGCCCCGCACCATGGGTGGAAGTGAACAACCACTGAAAAGCAGTTGGCTAGCACACCATCATCTGCCTGTGAGCCTTTTGTGCCCTCAGAAGTCTTGTGTTTGGAATTCCTTCTAGTAACAAAACATGAACTGGGTGATGCAGTGATGCAAATAATGCATTATCAACTATCTTGCATTCGACGCATCACCAACTCACCAAACGTAGCCTCCACCAAAAAGTAACAACAGCAGCGGGCTGACGCGGATTCGCATCTGCCCTCTCCCCCTGAACTCACTTCGCTCACTTTCGTAACTGTCTAGACATAAAGACCTGTTACAGGGCGAACCTTCTCATTCGAGGTTCGTGAGCCGCGCAGCCGCCCACAAGTACCCAGCGTGAGCCCAAGAGCCCAACTTCGAGAAACCCTTTCATTCGACGCCCTAAACCAACACACCAACCTTCGGTTTCACCGTGTGGCTTCGCACTTTGGCAGAGGAAACCACCCCACGCACCGTGCGCGAGAAAAAGGCGCGGCTCGGCTCCCAGACGGTCTGCAAGTGGCCGTCGGGGCTGACACGTGTGACCTCAATGCATTGAGATGGCCTCGGTCAACGGAGAACAAAGAGGACCGTCCAGTGTGAACCACCGGGGCGGCGTTCTGAAATGTGGCCCAAAACCGGCGGCGGGTCTTCCAAACTTGACGCCCTTCATTTAGAGTCTTAGAGGTGTCTTCTCTCAAAATGAAGGGCTCTGACACATCGATGCACATCTACTTAGTAGCACTTGCCAATGAATGTAAAGAAAAGGAGTCCAGATAAACCCACCATCGGCCATGGGAAGCAATTCACCGATCAATCCCCCGAACGTTGGGCGGACGAGGTGGGATCCTTTTGACCCACACAACTGTAGCATTTGCCGTTTAGAACATGTCACTGAAACAATTTCATGTATTGCAATTTGGACATAAGACCCAACCCATGTTGGGATCTTTTGTGGAAGAACCGTCATGAGATGATCCATCTATATATAGTGCATTCACTGGGCATGTTCATGCAATCCAATGAATCCAATGTCATAGATTCCATGTGTATATATATATATACACACATTTGTCTCTTTCATGGGACCTGTTAGAGGCTGGTTCCATTTATTCGGATCCTCCTCCGGCATGATCACATCCCAGGCACACTTGCACCGCCGGAAGATCCTCCAAAACGACAGGCGCGGACACGAAGAGGTGGCCAAAAACGCATCGGTCACGAAGAGGTTTGCCATGCATTAAATCAATTCCGAGCCTCAAGCCTTAAGCTGCTTGAGCTTCGTCATTTAGCACCAGGGCCAGCCGATACTTGAAGTGATCGAGTCACAGTCACACTCAAATGATGGTACAATCGGTGAGAATCTCTCATGAAAATGACATTCAAAGTCCTGGAAATGGTACTTAAACCATCCCCTGGATTGAATCATGATGACGATATCAGTAGCATCCAAGTTGTGGGGAGATCCCAGCAGCATGTGGCACCAAATTGGCCACGAACGCTTCCACCCTCTCATCTCCAGCACTCCTCGACCACCGCAACTAAACACCTTAGACCAGCAGTGCTTCACTTCAACATCCAACTACAGTAAGCCTGGTGATGCCTTGAGAGTTGAACGAGCTTCCAGAAATCTTCAGGGTGTGAAGATCATCTTCTCGAAAACGCGCAGATCTGAGCCTATACCCTTATACCCTTGCGACCTCCTGGCCACCATCAGTTCTACAAGGAAGAATATGAACACTGAGACCTTACCGTAGCTCTGCTGTTCAAGCAACTGCCTCTGGGTGTTGGCAACGCTCCCTCCAACTTCTGAGGTGTCTCACGCATCCTGCAGGCTTTGAATTGAGAGCTGCCCTGGCCTCACAGGGACAATGACCAACAGGACCAGGCTCTTGCTGTCAATGCTTGCTGGAAAAACGGGCAGCATAAAGATCAAGCTTCAACACATGCTGCATAGTAGGTCCTTGAATCCGAATCCGGAATGTCATGCGAGCCTTGACTGAACGGTATGATATGTCTGAAAAGTGGAATTCTCATGCATCCAGCTCTCACATTCTGCATGTGCGAGTACACCAAAGCGGCACACTTTTTGTCGGGATAACCCAAGAACATGAAGGTGACCCTATCAAAAGAAGAGTATTTATCATGGGTGTGGCTCAAAAGACATCCATGGAAGAATCAAAGAGCATTGTCCTTCCAACTGTACTGAGTGTGGTGTCTGTGGAAGACTCATGAGTCTTGGCCATAGTGTCAGACCTATCAGTCCGCGCCTTTTGTTGAGCAGCGTGCCGGCAGGTTTGTAAGCAAGCTTCGCCTGCTGGTGTGCTGCTTGGTCCAGCCTTTCAGCATAGCAACAGAGCAACAAGGACCACTGTGCATCACAAAGGAAAACACATTGCCACATTCACTGACAAGGCAGAACTGAGATTACACAAAACATAGCCGCCCGCTCCATCCCAAGAACAGCGTTCAACCCCTTCCAGTCACCCTATGTCACCCTTCTTTTTTCGAGCCGACGCGGGGGTCGGGACATCGGGACCTCACATGAGCACACAATCTTCTTGTACTTCTTTCACCAAAGTGCTCCATCCGGTGTCCAGGTCAAAAGCTGCCTTCCTCATGGCATCGTACTCCCAATCCAACCGCACGGGCTTGTCCTGAACACTGCTCCCAATCCAAACGCTTTGACCCAGTCGTGCGGTTGGAGCGGAGCGAATCCAGGAGGGAGATCCATACAAACGTAGAATCTAGATGGATCCAATAACTTAGTAGGTTCATGGTCTTCTAGAATCCAAATTCCACTACAACACAACAGGAAAATGATCGCAAAACAAGCATCGTGTCACCAAAAGCATTTTACGCTGCCACCCATTTGCAGGAATATGATAGCAGGTTAACATCCCACAAATGAGCAACAGACTTGATTCACAGAGAGAGAGAGAGAGAGACACACACATCCCCAACACATCCCCACTTCTCTAATGTATAGACTTAGAGCCCCCCTCGCAGAATGGTTTTACATCTCCATCTGTTTCTTTTCTCTGAATCACCCGTCTACAGGTCTACATGACATACTGATCATGTCTCTTCGGTCCTTGTCAAAGCCTTCGGGCTCCATCAGCCCCACAAAGGACCACCGCGCGGCTCCGGGAAGCTGACGGGACTCCACCAGGTAATGCTTCCGTGTCATGCGATGGGCGGCCACCTGCACATAGGGCTGCGAAGCATAGCACCTGCGACCGACCGCGTTCGGGCGGCAAGAGGCGACGTCGAACGGCGGTCCGTGGTGTCGAAACGGGTTGCAGAGAGAGGGAGAGGGAGAGGTTTCAGAGCGAGGTTTGGTGCGAACGGAACATGCAACCCAACATGAAAGAAAGCATCTTCTATGGGTGGATTCCCGGACCGTCTTCCGTTGTCATTTTCTGGATACAAATGACGTAAGAATCTCAAGAAACGTCTTCCTCCTCCGTTTCTGGGTGGGACGCCATCGCGCGCCAACCACGCGAGGGATCAGCGCGCGAGCGATCAGGGGCGCTCGGCGCTCGACACGACCTGAAGATCATCCGCTCGACGTGGCTGGTCTCTTGAGGCAGCTCTGCAGTGATCAGGTACTCGCCACCACGGGTCACGCTGAAGGCGACCATGGCATCCCTCACGGAGATCCAGTTCGAACGGCACACCAGTTGATGACCTGGCGTCTACCACGTCCCGTTTAAAGGGGATGACCGAAAGGGGACCGCGAGGTCGGTGGGAAAGAGGGACTGGCGGTCTGGTCGGTGCTTTTTGAGCTTTCTGACGGACTGGTCGCCACAAAAAGGACATGATTTTGTTGGGTTTTCAGGCATGGTTTGGAGGAGAACCATCCCTTTTGGTGGATTCCACCCACCTGCTTCAAGGAAAGTCTTCCTTACAGTAAGGGGCCAATTATGGTCATGATGAGGCTTGAAGAAAATAAAGGCAGTTCAACGAGTGCCCAAAAGGCTCTACTACATAAGTGAGGCAAGCGGCTGTAGAGGTTCTCGCCATCCACTTTCTCATAGACCTTACAAAGGATGGGAACCGCCTCAGGCCTGCCAGGCTTCTTCATCAACATCCGGGGATCGAATTGTTCGATGGCACACACCACTTCACATGGTACAGCATTCTGCGGGACCGAGACCACGAACTCCGGCTCATTCATCCGCACGACCTCCCCAGGGTTCGCAAAGATCCACTCGTACCACGCCAGAGGGGCACCATCGGGACCCACATGCTGAACGCCCTTCCGCTGGAGCTCATTTGCATCGGCACTTTCGGAAGGGCTCATGCCTGAAGCCATTTCAGGAGGCATCATACCTGGCATCATCATGCCACTGGCCATCAAGGAGAGCTCTGTGGGGGGTGGTCTCACCAGCTCGAAACGGGGAGGTGGCATGTTGGGTAAAGACACATCGCCGGAGTTCACCAGTCGACACTCGAAGATGGTGCCAAAGTACTCATGGAAGTCCTCGGCGTTCAACCAAAAGAAGCCATCTTCACGCTTCTCAGGATACATGTCCCCATGAGACAAAGTATATGGGACCGTGATGTCTTGCAAGCCCCCATCATGTACACCTGGACCTCCACAAAAGACTTGGTAGTAAAGGCCACCTTCCCACTGGACAGCTCTGTTCACAGCATAGGGATAGTACGGATTCAACCTCACCCCTTGCAGTTCGCAAAGAGTTTGATTTGGCCGACACACGAAGAGCGTATCCCGCTGCAAGTCGTGGATGTAGATGAATAAGCGATCTGGAGACACATCCTTGGTATAGAAGCGACCCGCGACCCCACCTGTAAGGTCGGCCAAGGCATCTTCAACCTTGCCACCCCCACCAATGGCCTCCCATCCTCCCATATCATCTTCAGAGATGGCACTGGCTGAAAGGCGCAGGGTGTGAATCTTGGCATAAGCCTTCTCAATGAGGCTTGGCCAAATGACATTGGGGAAGTGCTCTGATCGGCAGCAAATCGGAAGGTTCCCATCTGCGTCGTTCCTGCCCGGCCGTCCGACCGGCACATAGTCATCGACCTCGACCCTCATCCAGGTCCCGTGCTTGAACAGCCGGGCGATGTAAATGGATCGCCGGGTCTGCCAAGCGTAAAAGAGTTGCTTCACCAACTTGGGACGCAAAGAAATGGCCTGCAAGGCTTCCACAAAGTAGCCATTGTCCAAGGAGCCTTGATAGATGCGGCCGCAATGGGTCTTGCAGGAGAACTCATCAAAGAGATGTACCGCATCCGCATGCTGAGCAAAGTCAACCAACCTCAACCAGGTGCTGCTGGAGACCCCGTTGTGCGCGAAGTTCGGCACGGCTGTGGGAGCCAAGAGGGAATGGGCAGGATCGTACTTGCCGGCGATGTAGTACTGCCTTGGGGGTCGCGGCAAATGTGTTGGACGCGGAGTCGCAAAAAGAGCGTGTTCCCCCAAAAACCAGGGTACCAAGGATTAAGGGGTGTCTATTTAGAGCCCCGAAAAGAGGTTGTAGATTCCCAGATTTGGGGCATGTGCCGTGATTTGGGAAAAAAAGTAAAAAGCGGCCCAAAGCAAACCAGGGGGTGCTGGTCATTGGGTGGAAAGGGCACAAGCGCATTGGAGAGCACCGTACCAGTGAGGCCCAAGTCCGCAAACTCATGGGGGCTGTTCACCCAACGTCCATCCCGCAAACTGCCTTGCTTCTCCCGATCCGCCACGGCGGAGCTCAGGGTCATGATGTGCATCTTGGCCAATTCCTCCTGCTCATAGCGATTGCTTTCGGCATGAAACCAGCCCTGGTCATGAAGCTCCACCTTCTGGTGAGCGGCCAACTTGGCATGGAGGTGACCCTCCTCGTCCTCTTCCACGGGAGCATCGTCTTGCAAAGGCATGCCATCCGGTCCAAACAGAACACCATCGTGCGCAGGAGCCTCTGTGGCCTTCTGTAGCTTGGGAGTCGTCACTGGAGCTTCCGAGTCCCGTGGCGCCTGCACGGTGCGCTTCTCCAACGCACTTCGGTCCACCACTTTGGTCTCGTCCAAGATGTCATTTGCTTTGTACTTTTGAGTGTCACCAAGCACGTCTTTTGGGTAGCCTAAGGAGAGCATGCTGGCGACCTGCTGCAGGGGTCGCAGCAGCCGCTACGGGTACACTATCGAAACATTCAATGAAAATCGGGCGCCAAAATGGCTGCAGCATGAAAATATTGTGAAAACACGTCAATGCAGGATGCTGGCTTGATTTTGTTCTGTTTTCCAACCAATCTCCAACCAATCTCCTCAGAAGCCATCTGAGTTCAGCACGTAAATACATCAATATGGCCAGTTTCCTGCAAGTGGACCAATGAAATAAACAGCAAATGACTTGCATCCTGAGAAGTCCATCCAAAACAAAGGAGATGCAAAACACACGGGCAGGTGTCACTTTCTTCCGAATCCGCAAATCCTTTCACCAGGATCACACCAAAACAAACTCTTTCCGCCCCACGGCCAAGCGCGAACCGCCAAGCGCGAACCGCCAAGCGCGAACCGCCAAGCGCGATGCTCCGCGGTGCTCCGCGGTGCTCCGCGGTTCCGGCCACGTGCAGGGCGGCCTTGTTGGCGAAGCACACCCACGCGCCATCGTCCGAGGATGCCAAGGCACCGGCACAAACAGCCAGCTTCACCTGCGACGGGCGGGGCAGCGGAGAGCTCGGGGCGGAGCTGGTCCGAGCCCGGGGTTTTTGGAGGGCCCAAGGATTCTTAGGGTGGTTGAGAGTATATATGTGTTTCTGTTTTGGGTCGATGTTCCAAAAGGGTCGCTTGGTGTGATGAGTGGCCAGTGGCATCTAGTGGCCTTCTTTCTTCGACATGCGAACCTGAATTGTTGACGACTTCAGGTAATTTCCAAGAGACATACCGCTTCGGTCATCTGCCTTGACAAATTATGAGCAACCTTGGCCTGAGTTGGCGCTTGCCCCATTTACAGTAAGTAGGAAAAATATCCCCAACATAGCAGTTCCTAGAGCTTCCCCAAGAACCACAAAAGCAAGTCACAGCCTCGCTGACGAGTTGGCTTCTGGCAGAGTTCAATTGCCAGCAATACACCTGCACCACTTCGGTTCGCAAGACTCTGCACCAACAATGAACTCTCCAAAGCAATGGTATTTCAGCTCCAACCAAAGGGAACATTTGCACTTGGCAAGTCACCACCTTTTGTCCTCTGCACAACAAACTTTGAGTTCAGAGTTCCAAAACAACACTTAGCTGTCCGTTCTCTGGACCTGCATCGTCGAAAAACACGTTCCACCCCCTCCTCCCCTCCGCCTGACCATCCGCCAGGCGGCCAATTACAATGGAGGTCCCCTGTGTGCGGGACATGGTCACCTGGCACGGGCATCCTATGCATCCGCGAAGAGCCGCCTGAAACCGATCTGCTGAGTTGAGAAGATGTCCTGAAGAAAAAGGCCTAGATGCTTTTTAATCTTCTCGTTCCCCTGCTCGTTGTGTCGAATGGAATGGCAGGCGCACCATCGGCGGCAGAAGCTCTCGGTCTGCAGGAACTGGCACCACGACGGCATCGCTCACCAGACGTGACACAGTGCGTCTTCGCACATCTCCCCAGATTGGCGAAGAATATCGTGTTTGGAGGCTCACCCCCCGGTCCGAAACCGCCAGATGGCCAAGTTCACTTCAAGTGGATCTGCCTTTTTCAAGGGGTTATGTCGAACGAACACCTGGAAATAATGCAAAAAGCAGCAACTTGCTAGTTGTCACTAGTAAACACCACTCCAGTTCCAAGTCACGTTTTCTCACAAATCAGTCAATTTCACGTCCACCTTACACGTCCTGTTCGTTGACTTGCGTACACTCTTCGGCCCCATGTCACTAGATGTGACGTTATAATATCGTACCTGCGAACACCAACCGGTTGGACCCAGATATCCCCGAGCGTTCGACCAGGCCTGTGGTGGGTGGAAGCCTCAACTTCAGCGGCTCTTCGTGCTGGAGCTTGCCATTGGGCCTCCGGCCATCGCGGCCGCGGAAACGGAGCTGCCGGGCAAGGCGCGCGCGGTCAGCTGGCCGGGGTGAAACGGAGCTCTGTGGAGGTTGGCGTGAAAGGGACGGGCCACGAGTCATGACATCCATCTGGAAACCAAAGTAAAGTCGTACTGTAGTCTGTGCACGAGTGCCGGACGAAATCTTGTATCTAAGTCCAAGGACTTACTTTGGTCTTCGCACTTGTTTGTCGGATTCTCATATAAGATTTTGTATTTGTCATATATAGATCTATCTGTCTATCTCCACACCCAGTACTTGCACAATCCTTCGTGATGCAAACATCATGTCGTGGTGTCCCAAGACATCCTTTGCTGCTGCGCGCTTTTCGCGCCTGCATCATGCTTTCCGCCCTGTGGGGTGGAAAATAACCAAACAAAATACCGCCTAATTACGCCTTTCGGGGTGAGCGCAGGGGGGGTACCCAAACCTGACCACCGAAAAGCGCGCGTGCGCACCCGGAACGGCACGTCAGCCGACGTCTTCATGGGTCCAAGGTGCCAAATCACCATGACGATCACACTCTGTGGACTCGCCTCCCGGTACGGATTTGGCGCAAGGTGAAGACGGTAAAACAACCAAAGAAGACCCTTTTGTGGAGGAAAGTCAGTATATTGGCTTCGAGTTTCTGTGCCAAAAAAACGAACATCTCAGTGGGTCGACCAAATCACAGCTTTGCATCGGAAGACTCGCCGTGTTTCCTCCGGGCGAGTCGCATTTGTCGAGTCGCGCCATGCAGCACGGCACGCCATGTCACTCGCCCGGTCACCTGCGCTTTAGGAGCGTCCTGCTGAAATTGCAAGCAGGCCTCAAGGCCGGAAGGCCGGAACGGCAGGGTACAGTAGGCCATGCTTTCGATAGCTGCTTTCTTGGAAAACAATGTATATACATCTATTTGATATAGGAAAAGGATAGAAATGGTGTAAGTGGATAAGTGGATATAAGTGGACAATGGCAACATATGGCAACCCAGAAGACTTCACTGGCATGCTCTGTTCACTTCACCTCACAACTCTAAATCGCCCATAGAAATGGAATCTCGTTTCCTGAGGCCCTCAACTGCAACGGTCCCGGTTTCAGGATTCACTGCCACGTTGTAGACGCTGCCTTCATTCCTGGCAAAATCTCACCCAAACACAGTTGAGACCTGGACCGAGAAGAGCCGCAGTGGACCTGATTTGTTCTCTACATGTGGATGATCCACCTGTAGCAAGATCAGGAACCCAGACTCAAAATGATGGCAGCAGCAAGCCTGTTCTATAGCAGCTTCCTGAATCCCAAAACATTATTCTGCATACCGTGGGGTTTCAGCGCGGGGTACAGTAACCAGTTCAGCGCGACATCGCATGACTCTCGACCATCCGCACCCGGACCCAAAGAGTCGAGAGCTAGACGACTCCTCAGAGAGGAAACAACGATGAGAACCTGGGTAAACATGTCAGCATCGCTTTTGCTTCAGATTCCTGGGCGATGAGCTTGGAATCTCTCCCAAATGCATCAAAGACCCAACAAGATTACGGTCCCTCCAGCTCCTTCAACCACGGAGAACAACAGCTATGGATTCTTGTGACACTCGCTCAGTGAACTTACTAGCTTGCCATTTTCAGAGTTGCTGCAAACATCCTTGTCCGTCTGGTCGGTGCTCCGAAGACAGCGGGAGGTTTTCCATGATTTCAGCAACTGCACATGGTCACACAGGTCACAGAGATCACACATCTTGCCACCGAGCAGCTTGAAAAACAACGCGCGCTGCGATTTCACACTGTACCTTGCCACGGCGATGATGGCAGCCACGATCACTCAGACGACGCAATCTGAACCGACGTTTATCGGGCGGCCACGGGGTGTCCAGAGCGAAATTGGAACCCTGATTGACCAACCGAACATGCTGTTGAACCGACCACCTCGCTGGGAACCTCAGCATGATGTTGGGGGCGATGTCTGCTTTTTGACGTCACGATGTCTGCTTTTTGAACGAATTGTAGTCTTTGGAGCTCTTCTGCGGGAGGAAGCATACAAACAGTTCTCTCCCCAGTCTCCAAAACCAAGAGCCACGGCACTACAAATTGTGCAAGTCAAAGGCGATCCACAAAACTGGTTTGGTCTCTTAGACATTCTTAAACGCTATATTTGCAGTGCACGGTGTTTTTCACCCGAAGCATGCCTGGCACATCGGTGAAAACACCCTGCGCTCCCGCGACTCGCGCGTCCCAGAACCCACGACTCGCCTTGAGGGTTCCGTGACGAATTGTCGGCACAGCGTACTCCCCCCCCCAGAGGCACCCAGGCCTGAAAAAGGTGACATTTCGAGGCGAAGAAAGAATCTGCTTCATCCATCTTCATCCATCAATCGCCACTTACTCCGCTCCGCCAAAGAACCCACGTCGTCCCTGAAACATCCACCCCCTCGTCACCATCTATCCGCTCACCTCCCCTCGGTCCGTCGAGGAAGCTCGTCGAAACTTGAGGACTCCGGCAGGCCGACACCGGACTTGGTGTCGTAGACCAACTTATCACCTTCCACGTCCTCCAGTGCTTCGTGGTGCGGCGAATTCGCGGCCGTGAAGAGAACCGCGGGCGGTGCGGCGGTGCGGGAGCCGGCGCGGCCACGGAGCACGGCACGGTCGCCACGACTCGAGGTCTTCCAGGTGACCGCGGCGGTCGCAAGGAGAAGGCGGTCACGAGGCGAGACGAGAAGGCGAGACGAGAAGGGGCGGTCGCAGTCCTCGAAACCCTTCTCTTGCAGTCGAAGTAAACGGACGGTGGATGTTGAGGACTCCAAATTGGAAACAACAGATCACAGATGCCTCTCAGAGGGGTCTCTTCTTTCTTGCTTGCTTTGGGCTGCATTCTCCTCTTTCGGACTGGGTCTCCCAGCTGCAAAATGCACACCTTGTACCTCCTGGCCAAGGCAGGACCGAAAAGGAAGGTAAGTGTGGACTAGAGGCCAAGACTTCCATCAAACTCCCTGAAACGGCTTTGCACTCCATGAAACCTTCTTTTTCATTCTTTTTCAGAGGGCAAAGCTTCCATGTGAAAAATGCTAAGTCCTACAGCTCACAGCTCACGATAAAAGAGCTATGCCTTTGACTCATTTGACCAATCCTGGAGCTCATTGCTTGGAAAAATCCTCAAATCAAAAAAGAAACTGCATGTTATATATCACCCCCTGCCTTTGCATGCGCAAAGCATTCATGGTCTGAATGGCCTTACTTTTGGAATCTTTTGGACCTTAAACGAAGAACCATTTCTGGACACTGTATTCTGACCGTAGACTTCCCTTCCGTTCCAAAAGAGGATCAAATCCATTGCCCTGGGCGCAAACTCTGGGTTCGAAATATGACCCTTCCACTTACCATTCGTCCAAGCTTTTCCCTTCCTTCGAGGTGTCAGACCATTGGACCATTGGACCCAGTTGCGCCTGGCTCTGCAAGTTGAATGCCACCATTCGTTGGTCCATGACAAACGACAGCAATTGCCGTGCCTCGATCTCGCTGCGGCGAGACAGGGTGGTGAACTCAGCGAGGAGGAGTGGCGGAAAACAAGACTCGCGAGACTATGCCGGAAGGTTGCTAGGAGATTCTACCCCATTGGCATAGTGTAGACATGCCTTGAAGCACATTTTCAAGTCCAGCATGGACCAGCCTTCGCACTATCTGCAGAAGACAGCAGCGGTTGATTGTCTGGACCCCTCGCAGATAGCCTCAGGTCTCCAGCGTTTCAGAGCAACATCTTTTGAACCGAAAGGAATCAAGTCTTCATAATGATCTGGAGGTTGATTGATACAACCACCTGACCAGAATGGCCATCTCCTGTTTTAATCCACAGACTCCTCGAATCGTTTTACACCTCACTTCACACCAGAATCGCCATGGAAGGTCCAAAAGCTCTGAAGAGCAGCTCCAGCATCTTGGGGTCCCGAGCTGTCCGAACACCTGTTTCACCAAATCCATGGGCGTCTTGTTGCTGGCACAGCGTGACCGCGATACACGGTATACTCAGCGGCACGGCGGGGATCCGTAGGGTGCATGTGTGTGAGTCTCTCGTACCAGTAACACCTGAAACCACGCTCTGATTAGCTTCTTCTCAAGGAAGCATGTCTGTGTGTGTGTGCGTTGTTTCTTTGTTTGGGTGTTTCGTTTTGGTTGTTCCATTCAGGGTGTCAGACGCGCTTGACAGCGCTTCGGTATGGTGCACGGTCGCGCGGCCTTGCATCTTTGGCATCTGGCTTGGCCTTGCTACAAAGCCTGGGAACAGCGCAGATGTCTCAGCGCTTATGTCTCATCAAATGCAGCCAATCCGTTGGAAATTTCAAGAGCAAGAGAAAAGAAGAATTGGTCCTTGTTCGGTACTCTCTCTTTTTTTCCCATCCGGAAACCTCCAACATCCAAAGGGTAGGCCACTGGCCTGGCCTGGCCACCTACCCACTGAAGAAGCCTTCTACGTCCCAAAACAGAGTTCTTGCTGCGTTCAAGAGGCAGCATCCCAATGGCCACTGCCGGGATTCTCCGGTACCTGCCGGGATTCGCCACACCGTGGATGGCACGAACCAAGGCGCGGCTTTTCCACGCGGCTTTTCCATGGCTCCTCCTCCGGTCCCACTAAGCCATACGGGCCATATTTGGGCTGTGTCCTGCAGGGCCTGCAGGGGCGCACTGCTGGATGGCCACATGCAAGGGAGTCTTTCCTTGTGCCATCACAGCATTCACATTGGCTGCAGCCTCCGAGTGTTGAAAGAGTGAGTTTGAGCTCTCCGGGCTAGAGCCAGATCAGAAGATGTTTCTGCATTTGATGACCAAGGCCAAGAACCAAGTGGCTGCCCAGTTTTACCTCAGGAGGACATGTTTTCCTAGTTACCAGATGTTACCACTATAGTGTATGGAAAAAAAGATTGTACAGTACCCATATTGGGCTGGGATAGATGTCGTAGCGCACGGTCCATCCGGCGTTAGAAATCCAAAAGACCTTGAAAGAATGATCATTTGAGAGGTTGCTGCAAACATGTTCTTCTGTTACCTCTCTACTCCGGGATGCTTCGAAACCCACTCACCAAGCTCACAAAGCTCACGACAGCCAACATGGTCGACATGGTCGACGGCCTGAAGCAAGTGTCCGACCTCGTCAACTGATCCACCACTCTCAACCTGAGGCACGGCGAAGCAGCTGACATGGCGTCGGGCAGCATGGCGAACCGGTTTTGGTCATGTGTGGTGGTTCCATTTGGGGCCCAGGGGAAAAAATCGATTCAGCGAGGTGGTTCGGGCGCAAGAATTTGAGCGGTGGCGAGGTATGCGAGGTGTTTGATGTTTGTCTGGCGGATTTGGTCGGCTGAGCTGTGGCTCAGCTGTTCAGAGACTCACTTTTTTTGGGTTCCAAATACAAGCAGCTCGGATGCGTCAGCTCAAGCAAAGGGCCCCGACGGCCAAGTGCAAAGGCGTACGCAAGTAAGGCGTTCCCTCCTGGAAGTTCACCTGCCAAGGAAAGCAGTGCTTAAAAAAAGGCTTTGTCTTCGCAGCCGCGTCAAGCATTTTTGAAGGGATTCCGGGGTTCATCAAAATCCTGGATGGTTCGGTTGACCTCTGAACATGAACCAAATGAACTACCGGGCAGGTCAATCATCACGTTTTTGGGGGGTTCTGGTTTTCACACGCCGTGAACCTTTACCAAATCGGAGACTTCATCCTGCGCAAATCTCGGCGTGGATCCAGGCGTTTTGACTCGGGCAATGAAAGTGCTTGCTTGGCAGCGCCAGATTGTCACTGTCACCCTGGTTAGTCTGACTGACTTTGGGAATTCAGAGCTCAGAGCATGTTGGCTTGGCTGTACTATACAAAACATGCGCCCCAGAAAGGAAGTCCAAGATTTTGATCTCACTTTCTGGATGAATTGTGGAAAGCTCAAGTGGCTGTCAGCCTTCCAACAAAAGCGAGCCAAATTAAAACCGGCCCTCAAAACTGCAGGTGCTCAATCTGTAAGGAGATCTCCAACTGAACTCCCTCCAACGAAATCCATGCAGCAGCGAACCCACTCGGATCGAATTGGTCGCTGGGCAACACCACACTTCCCATCTTGAAGTCGAAGGTACAGTCATTCCATGCGGACAGCTGAATGGCCTTGCCGGGCTCGTAGCTGCTGAGCAAGAACGACTCGTTCCAAAGAACGAATGCATCTTCGCTCATGGAGTCAGGGCTGACCCTCTTGATGCTCGTGAAATATTTTTCAACCTCTTCCTTGGACTCTTCCTCATCCTTGTCATCTTTGTCATCCTCATCACCCTTCATGACCTGTACCTCAATGTATGGATTCATTCCACCCAAGACACATTCCACTGAGAAGTTCTGACCCGCCAGAATGGTGATTGACACTTCTCGATTAAAGGCCAAGATCCGTCGCATGTACTCTGGTCCCAGATGATGTTTGAAGGAGATGGATTTGCCAAGGATGGCAGACGTCAAGGGCTGCCAGCGGGCATCAAAGGTACCTCCCTCATGCTTTACCAACTGTTGCCCTTTTGGAACCAGTTGGATCGCCTGGGACTTCGCATGTTGGAAATTCAGCAGCACCGTGATCCATGGCACGGGGTCAAAGCTCACGGCGTCCATGTTGAAAAGCCGCACGCCAGGGAACACTCCACCCGGTAAGATGTTCTCAAGTTGATAGTTGATAGTGCACCCTGGTGAAGCAATGCCATAAAGTCCTGCTGTGACCACTCAAGCCACTCAGACCACTCACAGCATCTTGGCCATCAGATTTACCTCCCACTTGGATTTGATGTACTTGGTTTGCTTTTTGGGGGATCCAAATGATGTTTTTGCACTGATGTACTTCCCTTTCCACTACGGCGGCCCACGGCCCCAATAATACCCTCTACCACTTCTCCCTCTACCGCTCCTGTCACGGTCACGCGCGTGGACACGTTGCGCCCTGGATGCACCAGGGTTCCCCAGCGCCATAAATCGGGTAAGGCCACCCAGTCAGTCAACCCGATTGACGCACGTGGCAAAGATCTCGGCTAAGGCCCCACCTCTTCAGGCGGTGCTTCCGCCGCTCGGATGGGTGGATGATGGTGGATGTGTGGGTGGCTTGGACATGGTTGGACATCGGGAAACCGGATGTGGTTCACTGTGGGATGGTGTCTGAAAGGAAAGGACTCTCTTTTGCTGTGGATGTCCCAATCAAACGAGTTGGTTAGTTGGTGTTGAATTTTCCCAAACTGGGTGGAACTGGAGGTGTTCCGCAGAAAATTCAGCATTGAGAGTGTCCAGCAACTGACAAACGTCCTCCACATTCTGATAAGATTTCGGGTTCCATGCCATCGCTCCAGGCATCGCCCAGCATGAACTGCAGGAAATCTTCGAAGAAACCTTCATGGACGTTGCGCAAGCCACATGCAGGCAAACTTTGCAGACTTTTGATATTCAGGTTGGTGGTCCAATCTGCCAAGCCGGTGGTTCCAGCAAAGGATAGGACACATTCATCGCCACGACGGAAGAGTGCCACCACGTCTAATCCGGGAGCCAAAGACTTGCTCGTAGTGTTGATGTACTTCTTCACAACCTGCCAACCACCAGCCCAATCCTCTGAAGCCCATCGTTCTTCAAAGTACTCTAAATCATAAGCCCAGAAGGCCATGGCAGCAGCTTGAACCACGAAGGGAGAAGAATTGGTCACCACATTGAGATACTTCCTCACGGGACCATGTACTCCAAAGTAGGACTGGTAGGATCGCTCCAGGGCCGCCTCGAAGTCTTCCCTCAACCCCTCGATTTGCGCATCTTGGATCTGCTCGATCGCAGCCTCCGCCAACGCGCCCGCGCCGTAGGCGAAGACGGTGGCCGAGGCCGCGCAGAGCGCAGCGTGTGTCGCGGCCCAAAACCAGAACATGACGGCGGGATGAGGCGGGATGAGGCGAGATGAGGGTGGACTCACTGAGCTCCAAATGGCTCTGGTGGACTCACGGAGCTCGCGACGTATTCACTTCACGTCTGCATTCACGTCTGTATGGACCGAACGAGACCAACTCCATCCCATGCGCCATTGTCGAACAAGCGTTTTGTAAGCACAGCAAGGGCCATGAACTTCTGTGAGATCGAAGCACTGTTCTAGCGCTCTTGTTACCCCTGCCAGAAAATCCAACGAAGTGGAGTCAAGATCTTGACACTGCCGTCGTTCAAGTCTCAAAAAGACACCATGCAAGCAAACGCCTTTGACTACATGGAGATGAACAGGGATCATTCCAAAGCATTGTATTGGAACCAGCAACAACCCTATGCCAGTGACACCAGAAGCAACTGGATTGCGCAACAATACCACCTCTAGGAAAATACTCTGCTGGTGCTGGAGATGCGAAAAAATACCATCACTTCACTTGCATCATATGCATCATATGTATATCAAGGTGCAAGCATCAAAACAGCTTACACAGATTGCCTCTCTGTTCAAACCATCGTGCTGGGTGGGAAACTGCCGGAGCGGCGTAAATGAAACATGGCAGGACGACATCCGCCCGTTGCTTCAACAATTCCTTCACCTGGCGAACCGAAAAGGAACGCACCGCACGCTGCTGGTCGTGTGCGCATGGTCGGCTCCAACACAAGCAACAGCGAGGGCCAAAACAGCGAGCCGCACGCGCACAGTTCCAAAAACGAGTTTAGGGGACTTCTTTTCAAAACTCAAGAAAAAGCGTCCAAATGGACTAGACCGAGAGTTGGAGGACTGGACGGCCCTTCATCGCTCGATTCTCAACTCCGTTTCGGCGATAAGATCTCTCGCCTTCGCCGTTTCGTGCCGTTGCACGCACTCCAAGAGTTGCACGTCGATGGCGAACTGCCCTCGCCTCGGGCGAAACTGGAAAAACGGTAGGGATTGGTGTGAAAACGGGAGGATTGGTGGCCCGAAACTAACGGTTCTTTCATAACAAATGTCCATAACTTGGAAGATTGGATGGTTTGCTAGTGACCATCTGAGACCCTTGCCCTTCGGAGGCTGCGCTGCTTTGCCTGAACAAAATGTCGGCTGGCATGTCGACGCTCCGCAGGTTGGGCAAGAAATGGGTGCATACTGATGTGAGTAGCTCAAGTAGGAAAATGCCCCCCTTGTTCATGGGTTTGGTGCTTGATTCTTCGTGGAGGTCGCGCTGGAGTCTCCCTATTCTGTCTGAACACTCAGTTGTCTCAGCATGATCATGTCTTCCACTTGTGACTTCAGTTGAGAATCAAAGAGCCAAGCACTGTCCGTCAAACAAAGATGAAAGATACACAAAACTCATGTCTGACTATGTACTTACTACGCCCTGCAATTGTCAGTGGGGCTGCCTGACAGAGCACATAGACATGATGCACAAGCAGCTAAATAGGAAAGAAAGGGAGATGATGATGTGAACCCAGCCCCCCTGCCCTGGGAGAACAACCTCATCTATAGTGTCTTGATTTGCCCTGTACAACGGTGCAAATTGGAAGTGGCTTGGCTGCGATGCAGTACAAAAGGCCTCTCAAAGGAAGTCATCTCTTTTCGTTCTTTCGCCTGGCCAACGGATGAAAGGCACGCTCCATAGAAGTTTGTACCTCCCTCCCTGCACTGCGAGTTGTTGTCAGCGCCTGTGAAATATTTTGACAGCCAGTTGAGCCTTTACTGAAGATGCTGAGGAACAAAAAGTCTTGGCCAGCTTCAGTTGCACATCCTTGCTTATCCTTTCTTCCCTTACGTTGCCAGCCACTTCTAAGTTCTGAGTCGCAATCTTCGCTGAACCCCACACCATTCTGTGTTGACAGCACCTGACTGCCAGTTCCGCTCAAGGGTGCTTGGAGTGTTGGTGTCAGGTACGCCGGGGCTGCCTCGGTAGCGGTTCACTCAGTAGCGGTAGCCCGGGAACGACCAAATCCATGTGTGACGCTGGCACTTGTGGCTGATGAATTGTTGATGTTGATCTTGATCTGATGTTGATCAATACTTGATTGCTGATGTTGATCAATACTTGCAAAGTAAAAACAGTTGGAAACCATCCGCAATGAGAAATGTGCACAGCATGATCGATGCTCCCATCGCTGTGATCTAAAGGCCTCTGTGCACACAGGATCCAAAAAAACTCTCAACTTCTGCAAATATTGAAAAGACTTTCCGCTACCAGCCAACGTTTGTCGAGTGCCATTGCACAATCAGGTTCCTATACCAAAGGCCCTTGCGAACCGGATGAGGTCATCCTGTGACAAAGACTTGCAGGAAGCAGCCAGCAGAAAAATCTCCAGAAATTAGATTGAACATCCCAACTGATCACTGACTCAGGTGGCCAACACTCTGACTGCTCATTTGAGCACTGAAAAGAGCGTGCTGAGAGACCCGGCCGTTGGTGGAGTCTCCTCAGCTCAACCGAGACAATCGAGAAACACAAAAAGAGCAACCCTTCTGTCGCATCCAAAATGTTCTGGACATCTCTACTCAAAGCCCCGACCTCCCAGTCACTGCGCTCCGTTAGAGACGAGCCCCCCTCTCCACCGAGATGGGGCGTCTTCTCTCCCGCCCTTTCAACCGATTGGACCAGGTCACAGCACGGGAGCTTCCCGGAGTCCTGCCACGAGGGCGACGCGACGCGAGGTCCGGACGGGAGAGTCCGAGAGTGAGAGGGGACGGGGTACTGGGTCTCTCCGGAGTCAGAGATCATCAAAGTGAGTGGAACGTCAGAAGGCCCGAATCCGATGTTTGAGATTTTTTGAAGATGTGTTTGGAGGCTTTTGTTGGGTTCTAGAGGATCAGTGGCTCGATGACATAACGCCCACGGTGCTGTCTTTCTTCCAAAAGAATCCCACCGTGGCACCTGCCACTTCTGGGTCTGACCTGGATAAAAAATCCACACTGAAATGATGGAGATCT